CTCCACTGTAAGTGATGAAGTGCCAAAAGCCTCTATCTACCATAGGGACCAACCACAAAAGCTGCAGGTAGCCCCCGAGATACTTAAAATCCTCCACTTGAGACAACAGCTTGTTCGCAACCTGGAGTGGGGCACTCCACCCTTTTCTACCAGAGAACTGTGGTCTCACACTTGAAGGTATTAATTTCCATCCCAGCCACTTCACACTCAGCTGCAAAACACCTTAGTGCAAACTAGAAGTCTTTGGTCAGCGAAGCAAGCAGAAGTACATCGTCTGCAAAAAGCAGAGGTGAAACCCTGAAACTGCTGAACCTTCTGCACCTGCAACCTGCACCTAGAAAATCTGTCCATAAAAACCATGAACAGAAATGGTGACAAAAGGCAGTTCTGACTGAGTCCAGCAACCAAGTCTGACTTATAGTCAGAAATGTGAACCAAACTTGTACATGGTTTATGGGGGCTTATGAGCACTGGATACACCAACACCCTTCCTGAAACTTCATCCACCTGAAGCACTGCCCTGGACACCCCAGGAGACATGTTCAAATTCCTTGCTTTAAATCCACAAGTTACATGTAGACTGTTTGAGAAAACTCTCAAACACTCTCAAATATTGTTGATAAGATATAGAGTTCATCCAGTGTTCTGTGACTAAGATGTGTCCACACATTTGCTCCTGAACCCAAGGTTCAAATAACAAACCTCTCCAGCACCCTCGCGTAGACCTTATTGAACAAGCTGAGGAGTGTGATGTCCCTGAAATTGGAAGACATGCCTTTCTGTGTTGCTATATGGTTTGGTAGAATTACCTTAAAGCCAACTAAGGGCCACTCCATGGCCTCACCAAACTCTTCCCACACAAGTTTTGCTTCAGTTATTGTCAGATTTGCATTCTGTATTTGTCAGCTACTTCCCAATTCCCTCAAGCTATTCAGTCTCGATAGGACTCCTTCTCAAGCTTGACAGCTCCCTTCATCTCTGGCGTCCAGCATCCGGTTGCCATGCTATTGCCATGACTGCCATTAACCCCTTAGCAGTCCTATTAGTCCCCTAAACCATCCAATGTCCCGTGGGCGGTACGTCCGACTGCTAACAGTTTAACCGCTTTACAACTGTAACTTTGTACATCAGTAGATGTATGGCTCATGGTCCATTAATGTTCCCAGCATTCCTTGGAATGTTTCAAAGTTGTGCATCTGCTAGATGTTATCAGTGGACCCTTACTGTGTGTTTCACCATGCCAAGCCTGTCCAGCATCCTCCATCCACCACCAATATTTATGTTCAGTACTAAAATGTAATAATGCTTTTTGTGTTTTTTCTTGTTTTGTCTCAGTATTCATATCAGGACTAAAAAATAAATTTAAATTTTTGAGTTTGAGTTTGAGTTTGAGGGGTTGTCATAGTGTTCTAGTTTAAATATATTAATCCCCACACTCGAGTCTCACTGCTGAAACATTATTTACACTTTTTCACCTACTTTTCCATTTAATAAAAAAAACTGTCACTGAAAAATTTTGAAAAATTCTGGATTAAATGGGTTAATAGCACATTATTTGCTAGGTTAAAAGTAAAGTTCATGACAGCTTTTTCTTGTTATTGCTCCATATACTGCATTAAAATCCATGAGGTGTCAAGATAGTGAGCTTTTTTGTCTATTTTATCATCGCTGCCTGCCTTTTAGACTTGTAATTATGCACAATAATTTTTGCAAAGATTAAAGCAACAAGGTTTCCATGTCTTACATTCCTCTACCTCCTTTACCACCTCATGCCATTCATTGTCATTGTGAAAAGGTGTGTGACTCCCAAGTAGAGCAGAGCCCATTATCGTAAATAGGCCAGTAAGTAACTTCACACAACGTCTCCTGGAGGCTGATAGAATATAGAGTGCGCAAGCATATAGAGTGTGCAAGCTCACTCTATATGCAAAGCAGAAACACACTGTTAAAGAAACTGGAGCCAAGTGATTATATTTGTAATTTAATTTCCTTGGTCACATACAGATAAGAGAAGAGAGAGGATACAGCTGGCCAGGGATGACTAGAGTGACGAGAATGTGACTACGGCTTTATTGTCTAGACCGAAATGTCCAAAGCGACACCACTTACGAACAAGGGTACCGCTGGGCAAAAGGGGTAAGCCCACAGACATCACAAGTCCAAACTCAAAGACACAAAAGCAAACTTGGTGGCAGAGAAAGCAGAAAGAGTCTGACAATACAAAAAGAAAACCCCAAACACACATCTTGCACTTAAATTCAGTGATCACAGAATGATCAAGAAACTCCCTTTTTCCCTTTTCTAAGCTCTGCTAGTGTGTATGTCTTCTTGTAACCAGGTGGTCTGGTCCAGTCACAAAGAGCAATGTCTCATTGCAGATTCTGCAGGCAAGACGTACTGAGCGGCTGCGAGAAAAATAACTGAAGGACACAAGGTGCACTCTCATGCACCCTCTCTCTTTCTCACTCCCACTCGCTCCCTGCTTTACTATGAGATTGTAGGACTGCAGACATCAAATTTCCTGACTTTTCCATTTTCAAAGACTGTCCACTTATACTGATGACAATGCAGTAGAGGGCACAGCACTGCAGTGGTCAAACTCAGATTTAGAGCTATAGCAAGAGCGCGGTGGTGAGGGATGGAGAGAAAGGTGCAAAGTTCATTAAATCTGACACTACACGACACGCACAGAATACAAGGACAGTGTGAAACTATTTTGTGACACCTCAAATCCTCTCTCCCCCTTTGTTCTCGCCTCCTCTGATCTTTATGTCTGTTTCTCCCTGCTGTCTTGTCTTTCTGTGTATTTCCTCAGTGTCTTCACTTTGAACCCAACAGCATTAACCTGTCAGGAAAGTTACAAATGTTCTGACTGAATTATGCAAACCACGGAGAAATAAAACTGCAAAAAGCATGGAGTCCTAGCTTTATTTCATAATTCACCACGCTCCCAGATCGGGCCAAATAAAACTTGACTTATTAAGTAGTCCGGCACATTCTGGCTCAAAACCCTGCAAAATATGCTTGAGAATATTAATCACACTTTGTATACCTTGCAAATCAAAATCAAACACACACACACACATGCAGACATGCACAGACTTTTTGTGATTACATTACTCATCAAATGAAAGCAGTGTCTCCCCCATTTCACCAGAATTCTTTGCAAAAGTCAAAACGATAGGTGTTACACCAGCACCACCAAAAGGTACAAGAGAAAATAACAGTTTTTGGCAATTCTTGCTCTCTTGGGGTTTTTTTTTTGTTTGTTTTTTTCCTTCCTCTGCAAAATTCAAACTTATAGCTCTGAAAATCAGATTAAGAATGCGCGCCTTGGCACTCTGTGACGATATTTATTTATCTCAATGAACACAAGCACAGGCACACAGCATGGAGAAACACATACTTTATGCTGAGGATTGGCATAGTGGCGGTGCAGCATAATTAGTAGGACATGGCTGTATAATTGGACTCTAATTGATATGAAGAGCAGTGGTTTAGCCCAGGTTATGTTGTACACATGCTGCCAGCCACAGGCAGGAAACACTCAATCTTGGTGCCATCTTCTGATTGATGTCTCTATAGCAGATGCCCTTCAACAATCAACACCCGCAATCTTTCTGTGACTATCTGGCCACCTGTCTATCTGTATGTAACATCTTCTGCCATTCATCTGTCATTTCTTACTTTGTGCCTAACTGTCTCACTATCTCTTTCTTTCTATCTCCATATTGATTTGTCCTGCCTTTCTCTGAAGGCATTCGCAACCTTTAGTCTGATGCTTTCAGGAGGGTAAAAGAGCAGCATTTGTAGTGGTGGAAGGTGAAAAGGCTAGGGTTTGTTTATGAGACACTGGCAGCCATGAAAGACTGTATTCTTTCAAGTGCCCAGACAGCATCTACTGAAGGGAAATAAAAGCAACTTAAGATTAAAAGAAAATCAACTTCAGAAGTGCTTTTATTTACAAAGGAAAATGGGTTACTAAGTCTCTCATTTTAACAAATAATGTTTAAAAAAATGTTCTTTCAAAAATAGCAACTGAATCAAGAGAGGCACAGCTGGATACAAGAGGTTGTAGTGAATTTAAATAATTTGAAGATAGAATGAGGAAGCTCTTTGGAACAATTCTGTTCATGGATCGCACGCTGATGCAACGCGACCTTCAAGGACATTCCCCTCATTTACACAGCAATTAACCACTACCCTGTTGGTAAATTGAAAAAGAGACAAAAATCCTCTTTGGATTTAATAACAAACTCATTACCAGGGCCCAACAGGGCGGAACTGCCTTTTAATTAGAGCAACACCTGATTAACGCCCAATTAACAAAGCCAGAGCCACTTAATTCTCCCCCACTTTGGCAGGTTGAGAACATAAACATGAGCAGTCCAGCATCTGAGCGCTTCCTTTCCTCTTGGGAAGGTGTGAAAGAAAGTAAATAACGACTTGGGAGGCAGTTTGCTGTCTGGTGCCCCAAATGTTCTGCAGAACCAGCAGCTGCATGCAAGAAATGAAAGAGTTTTTCAAAAAAGGAAGCAGATGTAGGACTTGCAAGGGAAGAACTCTGCTTCACTACACATTCAAGACCCACGGGCTGGTGGGCAACTGTCCAAACAAAGAACCATAGCGCTCAACCACACAAGCTTCTGCTTCCCTTAAAAACATCCAGATACTTTTCTAAAAGGAACAACGCTTTTTAAACTGTGAGTTGCTGAGGGTTGCTTAGTCAGGATAAAAGCTAGAGTCTACCACAGGCAGACGAAGTTTTGTTGAACAGTTACAGTACAAAAAAAGTTTGGATATGTGCCTAGATCTTTTTTGTTGCTCTTTTCTATGGTATACACAGGAATGTATACACACACACAACTGCTATTTAACTTAAAAAAAAAAACATGTAAGCTGCTACGTGTAAATAAAACAGAATCGAATAATTTGCAACTAAATGAAAACTTGTATTTACTGAAAATAACTTAAAGACAAGATACGTGTTATACCGAGAAGTTTTATTGTTTTTTGATAACATTAAAAAAAAATACAAAATGGGCAACAACAACAAAAAACAACAAAGTAACAAAATTCACAATTAATAAAGACTTGGTATAAAAAAAGAAAAGAAAAGAGAGTGTTTCAAAAGTCTAAAGGAGAAGAGTCCACCAGTGTGAAAGGTAGTGCAGGCAGACCGTTCAAGAACATTGTTTCTTGTTAGTCCTACAACGGACTGGCAGCCACTCAAAGATGTACCCCACGTCCTGCCAAATGACAGCTGGCTGACAATAGTTGGAATTCTGTTGATGCGCACCAATGTTTCTTACTGTAAAAATTGCAAAGAATTTGCAAGTGGGAATTTCCTTAACTACAGTGCAATCTACTATTAAAAGAAATGTGCATAAGGGACACGGCTGAAAACAAGTACTGAATGGCCATGATCTTCAGGCCCTCATGGAGCTCTGCATTAAAACAATGCTGTAGTTGAAATTATAGTCTGGGCTCACGAATATATCTGAGAACTACTCATCTGTTTATAAATAAACCCAAGTTAAATCTCCAAAAAACAGAAAAACATATGTAACAGACCAAAAATGCTTGTAATGTGTAAATCTGTCAACATTAATCAGTACCTATCATCTTTTACATGACAATTACTATTTGAAGTGTCACATGGCCATAACAATGACTTCAGGTAAGATATATCGCAGCAGCACTATTTAGATAAATGTACTAACTGAATGTCTTGTTTACGTAGATTGAACTCAGAGCCCTTTATACCTGGACCTGATCCTGGCTGAGGCGCAAACCTATCATTAGTTGTGTATTTCACTAGTTGGTATGTTATTAGTCCTTAGTGTGTTGTGGTTTCATTTCAATCAACAAACCAGTGAACCAGTCAACAAACCAGAAAATGATTTCCACAGTAAGCCCAGCAGGAAACTTCAGTTCTTCTGACTTCAGGATTCTTTCAGTGCACAGTTAGCTGAGTTTGTGTGCAATAATGTGTAAACTGACTCCTTTAGCGTCATATTCATATTCGTGTCCTTTTTGTTTCTGAACTCCATTCAAAATTCAGACATATATTTCATCACACCCTTGTTGCTTTTGGGGTTAAAAGGATGAGAACTTTGACTAAAAGATTGTTCGTCGGCCTCAGATGGAGAGGAAATCCGCCATGGCTCCACAGCATTCTCCAAGTCAGGTAGGATGTCTGGCACGACAGCCTGTTCAACGATAAAGACGATCGGCTCCACGACGAGCAGCAGGGTCCAACCTAAAGCCCCCAGCCAATAGGAGGAGCCAAGACTGGAAAAGTCCTGACGGATTTCTTCACGGTGCTGATATGTGAAAAAAGACCAGCTCAGGAGGAAGAAGAAACCTGTAGACAGATGGTGAAAATGAGTCAACTCTAGTATGATTACCGCTAAAAGAAAAAAGGTATTAAGCACAATTATTACATGCCTGGAGCTTTAGGAAAGACTTTGCATGATATTGAACTGCAATTCCAAAGAAAATAAAGTCTCTGTGCGCTCCCCAGCGGGGTACATAAATGACTAGTACATGAAACAACTTCTGTAGGTGAGAGCTTGACATGAATGACATAAACCAAAAGGCCATTTGGAGGGTAGTTGGAAATGGAGAAACAGAATAACAGAAATCCAAGAAACACCGTGTTTACATATGTGGATGTCATAGGAAATGAATATATGTTACACACCTGTGGGGGCCATGGTGAACAGCAGCAGGGTAGTGGGGTAGAGCGCCTTTTGTACAATGAGGAGAGCGCGAGTGTTTGAGTAGGAGCGCACCGTCTGGGATGTCCAGCAGAGGGCAAACACCAGACACAGAGCAGCCGTGCTCACGGCCATCAGGAAGGAGAGAACTCCAAAGACCCTCTCTGCTTCCAGAGCTGCAGGACACAAAACAACAGACAAAAATTAGAATGGGTAACTACACTTATATTCATTTTTACACATTCATTTCCACTACGAGCATGATAAAAACTACACAATGTCAAATTTCCCACAATATATCCCTTATTTTATCCTCGAATGCCTTTGCTAGAGAATGATCTGTGAGTGCACTTAGGATTAAATGTTTGGAAAACAGGATTATGCTGTTTTCCACCTCTACACTTTTATTCTGGCACTCCACCAGAGTAACTGTCCATACTTCACTATTCAATTAAGTCCTTATTTATTTAATACCAGCTGTTTTGCAGCACTTGAAGAGTCCACTGGAAAAAGGTAATAACCTATTAGCTCTGGGCTTTTTTTTTAAAAAAAAAAAACCCTGTTTCTTAAATGTCTACTTTCTTCTGTCTGGCCAAGTGTCACAAATTTGTCACAAGCCTTATATACTTTTATTTTCTAGAAATACCCCCAGGGGAGACATGTGGGATGCGCTAAAAGAGTACCTAGAAAAATGATATTGTGCTGTTGCCAAATGACTGTATTTCCCAGCACTGTTGGTTTTTAAATGAAGTACATCAAATGACTATTATTCTGCTACTCCGGCAGATGATTTGATGCTTGACGAGAACGTGTACAAATATTTCCTGAGAAGAAACAAGGTTTCGGCCAGGAGCAGATGTATAAATGATGTCATTAGCTAATGTCACTGATGAAAACTGTAGGAAACCAAGTGTTCAGGGATAACCTTTATATGTTTATCTCCTTACCTGAAACTCAATATTCAGTATCGTTCTTTTTAATTTTAGAACAGACACAGCATAATATATCTCTTTAAGTCAACTTTGAACTATTGCAGTTAACAGCTATTTACTATATTTTTATCTTTTTAGTAAATTAATAATTTTGTGGTACTTCTTAATAATCTTAATATTGATCACTCATTCATTGGAGTTTCTTCTCAGCATGAGGAAAAGACTTTTTGTTGTTGTCATAACTGATATTTTTTCGTTGTATCATTAATCATTTCTAATCACCATTATTACTGTTATTTTTTTATATATTGTCAAGCAAAAAGACAACAACTATCTTGAGTCCCTTCTCATTTGCTTTCCTTCTTTGTGTATGAGAGCAGAGGACTTATACAATATTAGATTAATTGTTAAGAGCATAAACTCAGTTTATGTCAGTTTATGACACGAAATGAGATTTGAATGATAAAGACCGGGTTTTAGCTCACTAAAGATTTCGCAAGCACATTCAGTACAGAACTGAGCCTTAACAAAGAATGCAATTCACCCGGACAGAAGCAAGCTCAAACTTGTTTACTGCTGCAGAGAATCTCTTCTGTAACTCAGCGTTTTGTCAAATCTCCCTTTTGATATTGATCCTCTCTTGAGAAAAATAAATTCTCCTAAGGCTGAAGCAAGCAGAAGCAGTCTTATCAAAACAGCACAGCAAAGATGTGCTTAAGTCTCATTAAATATGCTGCCTTTCCTAACACATTTTAGTCAGTCAAACCTTTAACCTAACACAGAGTGAAAGCTTAAGACAGATACGAGATTTGTTGACTGCAGAGTGGTGTCAGAGAAGCGTTTGGCTCACCGTTGATGCCAATATCATCTTTAGGATTCGTCTGGTCGCTTTCAGTGGCGTTCCACTCCGTCCACAGTCCCCTGTCCTTCACCCAGTAAGGTGTCCAGACTGCATAGCACACACACAGGCACCCCACTAATCCCAAACAGGACTGTGAAAACCTGAAGCGACCGATCGAGTCATCCAGCTCAAGAAACTTCATTTTGACACCGCTAAAAGAGACAGGGGCGAGGATAAACAAGAGTGTAATTAGGATGTGCTGAAGTTCAGCGACAGAGGGATAATCTGTCTTAAAAGTAACCTTGGCATTTAGATTATTTAAATGAGCTTTACAAATATAAAAGCCCTGGCTTACCTTTGTTGTTGTTGTTGAAGGGAAAAAAGCTGTCAGGAACCAAGCTGTGAGGTTAAACTCTGATTTGAGTTTGCCGAAAAGTAGAAGAAAGTGTAAAAGTAGTGCTGTGCCAAAACTACTGTACAAACACTTCCAACACTCATTTGACATATAAGATAATATGCTTACAACCACAACAGATCAAACCCTCACTGTAACTCCACCGTCGCAGTGGAAACTCCCACCCATCAGGGCTGAAATTTCCCCTTGAATTCTCCACTGTGACTTGCCGAATCGCTCTATAGAGAAAGTGAAAGCTCCAGCAACAGCCATTCAGTATTTGAGGAAGCAGAAGTTTATGTGTCTAAAAGCAAACAGAGTTGAATAGGTTCGAAAAGCTCGATCTACAAGTCCCTTAACAGTTGAGCAATTATGTTCGACTGCAATAAACAAATCAGACCCTTGTCATGTAGAAAGTGTGTGGGGGGTGTCGTCGGGTCATTACACATCACGAAACGGTTAAGGAAATCCCACTCGCTGTCACAGACAGTGGGCTACAAAGTGTTGTCAGCCAATAGCGTCTTCAGCATCAGATATCTCCCCCTGTTCGTCACTCTACTCTCACCACCTTCACTTTCCTTTGCAGCAGCGGAACAGAGCCCACAGCCCACCCATGCCAAAGAACAAAAGATAATGTCACACTGAAACAAACAAAGAGCACACAAAATAACACATCTCCAGTTAAAGGCTACTTACTCTAAATGAATAACAGTCAAGAAAATAAATAATACGTCCTGTATTTATTTGTGGACTATTAACTTTACAGCAAGTACAATTCATTTTGACAAAATAAACCGCGTAAGATGAAAATCAGAAACATTTACAATTCATAAGAAAAGAGACTTGTAGTGTTTGATGTTAGGACACGTCTGATTTTTGGTTGTTCTATTTGGCATCCACTTAGAATATCAGCAAATAAATCCACTTCTCAGCTTAACAATAAGGCCTCAAGACGCATACAGAAAAGTACTCCGTCCTGTTCTTAATGCCAGGCCGGGTTTTTTCTTTACTTCTCTTTAACCTGGTCTCAGCTATTTCATTCCTCAAAAACAGACATCAGAGCTGACCTTGTGTCAGGTGTTTGTGTCAAGCTTTTCACCATAAACACAGGAAGCAAGAGGGATGCTTAAGTACTGCCTCTTGAAATTTGGCAGCTACATTCGTGCCTGTTTAATCCTAAGCTTACTTTCTGGCTCTTTGCAGCAGGACCTTGAACACATCAAAAATTTCTGGGTCCTCCCCAGCAGACAGCTCTGGAGTGCTTCTCTCCAGCCAATCAGAGGAACGGATCTGATGCCTGAGAGTACCGATCAGCGTGTCAAGACTCTCTGTGGGCTTAGAGGCTTGGCAGTCTTCAGTGGCCAGCGAGCCTGTGTCAGGAACAGGGCTATCCCTCTCCTTCAGCTGATCTGATGAATTGTTCTCGGGTAAGGTTTTTGGATTGACAGTAGCAGCATTGTCTGAACCTGCATTGTCCTTTTTTACTGGCTTTTGGCTCTCCTCACTGGTTTGTTTGATGTCCGGGACTCGCATTTTTGCTTCAGTTTCTTTTAAAGCCTCTCTAATTCGCTTAAGGCCTGAAAAACCACAAAACAAAGTGACAAAATAAGTCAGTACAACATAAACCTTTGAATGAATAAATTATATCACAAATATGTGCTAATCACTGTCTAGTATAAGCACAGGGTGACAAAGCATTCTACATATTTAATCCAGAAAGCTGTAAACTTTAAAATAATAGCATATAAACAAAGTATAACTATGGTAGATTTAAAAACTACAGAAACAATTAAATATTAACAATTAAAGCCTTTACTATTATAATTTGAAAGATATCGCTGTACTAGAATGCTAAACTAAAGGATGTTTTTTGGGTTTGGTTTTTTTTTTAAATCAACCGATTAGGTCACTACAGACTACTCAGTCTTCTTCTTTTGGAATCGGAGAGGTTAACATCAAGCCAAGAACTTTCTGCATACACTATCTCAAAAATAGCTATGAGGAAAATGAATGAATTAAGATTTTTATCCTCATTTTTATAAATGTTGAGCAAGAATGAGGAGCAATTTTCATGTGTTTAACTATTCTTTTTCAGTTTTTCATAATAGACCAAGGATAGCAAAGGACTTGGGCAGGAAATTTGTGGTAAAATTTAAAGGATATGACCTTTACTCTCCCTCCCTCAATGCAATAACAGCTAATCGTACCTTAGAACCAGAGTCCACTGAAAAGAGCTGCTTGTTTGCGGCTGTTTTGCTTTCAGCTTTATATTAAGGAACTGATTTTAGATCACTGACTTGGCCATTGAAGAACATCCCATTTCTTTCAATCTCATTTCTTCTTTTCTTTGAAAGACTCTTGGGTTGCTTTTCTAGTATTCTTGTGTCATTATCCATTTGCACTGTGAACAACATAGCTGTACAATAGTTTTGTTTTTCACTGCTTCTTTGGACCAACAAATCTGGTCCAATGTTAATGGCTCACTGCTCTTCCTAAAACAGAGAGTAGGTGAACGGCTGTGTGTGAATGGGTGGATGATTGTGTATAGTGTAAAGCGCTTTGGGGTCCTTAGGACCAAGTAAAGCGCTATACAAATACAGGCCATTTACCATTTTTTTTTTAACGGCTGAGAGGGCATAAACAGCCTGGCCAAGAGAGACTACGAGTGTTGTTGGTACTGACCAAGCTGAAGGTGGTGCTGTTGGTCTGCAAAGACGATGCGGAACCACCCGGGCACTGAACAGCAGAACGCTTGGCCACAACTCAGCAGCACCTTGTGCCTGAGGAAACATTTCCACAGAGACAGCTCCTCCTCAAACGATGACTCTTGGAGATACTACCAAAACAGAAGTGACAAATCAAACCTAAAGAATATATATCTCAAAAGAATGAGAAGAATGTTGCGTTCATATGCAAGCCATTTCAATTCGACTTTGGTCTTGTTACCTTTCTAAGGTCAGCCCAGACATACAGTGTCGCAGGCCTGTCTAGAAACGGGATGCCCATACTGAGCAGCTCTCCAGTCAAGTAGCTGCACGCAGCTTTCAGCCTGCGTCTGTTCTCAGGCAAAAATTCCTCATTGATCCACTCTACAACACGAGAATGCCAAGTGACAGTCGGCAAGTGTAAATTAAATGTTACAAGTCTTTCTGCAGCAGAGGCCCCATGCTGTGCTTGTCATATCAGAGAAAGCAAAAAAGGGAGGCTCGTGTTTCTTGAAAGCATGGAACGCACAAGGTAGAACAGTGGAATTGTTAAAATGCTTGCATCAAAAGTAATTTGCATTTATGAATATAAATTCCGCTATACACAAAATGCTTGTTTTGTGTAAAGCGTGCCGGATAATTTTGTCCAAATTGTGCTCATGTTAGGATTATTTTCCAAGTGGTTTTTCTGATAAATCTGATGTTACAACAGCAGTGTGACTGCAAAAGAACACAAAAAGCTCAGCTCTTACCTTTATCCTGAAGCAGTTGTGCAACCTGGTGCTGGGTAGTCCCAGAGACACCATGAAAAGAGCCCAATTTGGCCAAAGCCTCCACGAGGTCTCTGTTCTCAGTATATAAAGTGCCTATTCTGATTCCTGCCATTGCAAAGTCCTAGAAAGGACATGACAAAGTCAATGAAAAATAATGAACTGTGAAAGCAATGTATACGGTTATTGAAAGTCTCACAGTTTTCCACTTCCAGGCCTCTGTACAGCACATACCTTGCTCATTCCCCACATTATATGCGTCCTCTGTGGATCGGGCAAACTGAAATAAGGGCACATCATTATGAGATAAGTGGATGTCTTCAGCAGCAGTTATGATGATTCAAGGTCTAACAGACTAATCATGCGGAGGTTAGGTTCACGCAGTACCTGTCTGCACTGAGGACACTCTGAAAGGTGACAGATTCATCAAACACTGTCAGCATGTACACTTCATCTACAATGGCATGGAGAGCATTTCTAAAGCAGGAAAGGAGACAGGAAGATAACATAAATATATACATATTTTCAGTGCAGCAATAATAAGACCTGGTTTTATATTCTTAATGGATATTTAAGACAAGGAAAATGCAACATCAATGTAAAACAGTTCCTTCAACGCCCAGTGTCACTGTAAAAGCACTGTGGTTTATGGTTACAACAGCTCAGTGCCTGGAAGGGTCTGTGCAGGGAATTACTCTGGCAAGATCATTTAGAAAACAATAGATGTTGCAGGAGTCTCTTTGGCACATGGCTGCACTTGACAATATGCTGGTGATTAAGAGAGGTCGTAAAACTCCGTCAAGAACGTTTGATATTCCACACACGGGACAGAGCTCTCCGTCATAAAATAAAACAGATCACAGTAGGAACTATATGCAGTGACTTGGCAAAGCGCTTAAAGGAACCACAGAAATGTAGAGCAAGAGGATTACAGCGTTAGGCCGCAGTGTGAGATAACAGTGAGGCAAACATACCTTTTGGCAAACTCCAGGAAGGTAATCATTTCCTTCAGGCTGTAGATTTCAGCCAGAGGGTTGTGGGGGTTCATCAGGATAACGCCGCGAATTGTCAACCCCTTAAAGAAATGGCAGGTTCAACTGGAAGTAAACAGGAACTGCTACACTGTACCTTCACGGTCTTTACAGATAAACTGAAAAAAAAAGTCTCTGAGAAGAACAAAGCATCCAAGGTGTTTATCTACGCTGAGAATTTTGCTCGAGTAATTTTGTCTTTCTTTTAACATTTAAATATTACTGTTTCAAACCAACATGCCTTCACACGTTACCTCTTCCTTAGCTCTTTGCAGACCTTCTTCTAGTTTCCGTACAGTGAGGCGGAAGGGTCGGTTATCTTTCCCATCAGCCTTTAAAAACAAAAGAAAAAGCAGCCCAGCTGAATAGGGGCCATTACATTCCAGTGTGCACAAAAACATCCATTTCAAATGCAAAATGCTGCAAGCAACTCGGGCTGTGCCTTCCTACCTCACAATCAAGGGGAACATGGAAGAGTTTTACATCACTATACAGATGAAGATCTTCAGTGATGACGCCGTAGAAAGGAGTCGGAATAAGGATGGCATCTACGGGATGCAAAACACACAAAACAGGTTAAAATATGCACTTTTTTATTATCTCACTTTTCATTTTAGTATACAAATAACTAAATGTGCACATATAATCTGTATCATATTGTATTTTCATGGGTGTATATACTGCACAGCAAATGCTAACTGAGCCATATCTGGTACTATTTTGAGTTGTTACTGGTCATTGCCTTTGCTAACATGGAACCAAAATCACCAACGAAAAGCATCTGCTGATTTCAAAAACATCCCACTAATGACTGACTCACTCTGCCTTAGTGATTCAGGTAGGCAGTAAATAGGTAAATACCAGCTGACTCTGAGGCTCATGATTTTTTTTTAACGTTGTGACTGAGCAAAACAATTTACTGCGCTGCTTAAAATGAAGCTTCGCCAGCAGAGGTAAACAGAATGCGCAATTTATGTGGCTGGGTGTTTTCTTTAAAATAAGTCTGCGTAATCCTTCCAATTATCTGTTAAACAAGCAAAAGAGGAACGCGGACTCGACTTCCTCTCTACCGCGCACTCATTTTTATTCAT